TTCCACCAGTTCCGTGGTAGACAAGATTGTAGCAGAGGAAGTGGCATCCTTCTCCCTGAGTGACATGTGCAGAGGCGACTTCCCATTTCCTTAGATTCCTGCACTGAAGGCCTTCTCCATGCTTCCCTGCAGGTATCTATGCAGCCACCTCTGTCACATCTGCTGTCTCTGCCTTCCTCACAGTCCCCATGGTCCTCATATCCCTTGACCTGAGCCAGGCTCAAACAGTCATGGCCTCAGTCCCAGGTGCACATGGAAAACACTTCTATATCATCCATCCATCCTGCCCTTGGAGACTCAGAGACACAGAATTTTTGGGATGAGTTGGCCCTAGATGGCTAGTCAGGAGAGGGGATGGGACCTATTTTAAATGTCAGAAAGACCACCCCCTCCCTTTATTGGATGGGTTCTCATTTAGCCAAGGCTGGGCCTTGAACTTGTTATGTAGACAATGATGACCTCAAACTCCTACAGATCCCTCTTCTCTGCGCATCCAAGTGATGGAGTGACAGGTGTGTCCCATCATGCCCCTTGTCTCCTGCTGGAGATAGAACCCAGGGTTCTGTGTGTGCCAGGCAGGTAAGCACTCTACCAGACGAACCACATTTTTCACCTCAGTGAGGTCTGAGAGGGGGCCCTCCTGGTCATGGATACTCACCTCCAGGCTTCATTTGCCCTACTCTCTGGGGTCTGTGGGTAAAAGGTCAGTGGTTTCTAAGTCACCAAAGAGGGGCTGGACCTGACGAGGCTGCCATATGTCAGCTGCTGGTCCCTAGCTTTTTAACAGGACTTGCTCTGGTTGGTCCTTCAGGAGCCTAGGTGCGACTTGTGCTCAGCCTCACTGCTGCCACCTGCTGGCCTCTGAATCCCAGGTCGAGGTCTGTGCTCTAGTTTCAAGTCCTGAACTCAGTTGCATCCCCTTAGGGACCCTGCTGTGGGATGATTTCTGTCTAAGATGCTGTAATCAGTCTCCTGCAGTGCCAACTCCATTCCCCCATTAACAGTGTCTGGGCCCTGCAGCCATGATACATTCAAAGGGGAGGGGCACTTTCTGTGGAAGAGCAGCCTGGGGCTTTGGGGTGTGCACAGGGCTTCTGCACACATGTGACCATGGGAGTGTCAGACTGCAGTGTGAGAACCTGGCTGCTGCTCAGGTTGTAGCACATGTGTGTCCTGCCCTCACAGAATAAAGAAGGAAGTGTAATTTTAAGTATTTAAACACAAGGTGGGCTGGACATAAGGATGCATTCCTTTAATTCTATTTTATTAGGGGGGGGGAGGCAGAGGGAGAGGCAAATGATTCTTTTTGAGTTCCAGGCTATCCTGATCTACATATACAGTTCCAGGCCTGCAAGAGCTATACAGTTACAGTTTCAAAAAACAAAAGCAATCAAAATAAAAAACAAAATCCAAAACAAAGAACATAAACATGCAAAAAAGAACCAAAACCCACAAGGTGAATGGTGTCCTGAGTAGTAATGCCTGAGGTTGTCCTCTGGCTTCCACATACACAGACTCACTTGCAAACACATGTACATGAACACAGACACACACAATCATGCAAGGCACCTTTCACAGCTGATCTGTCACAACATGTTTACTCAGTCCTCATCCTGAGCAAACATGGTCTCCCAAGCCAGGCTCTGTGACTCTTCAGACTCCAGTTCCTGACAGTGTCCTCAGCATTCAGACTCTGATTTTATACCCAGCTGTGTTTTCCCATAACAGTGGTGGCTGAGAACAGGCTCGGCCCTTTCTATTTCTGTGTGAAAAATCCAGTTCCAGAAACTTCCCTCAAATAACCCTCAGTGCAGACCCTGTGGGTCCTGACACACCAGATAACCTCATTGATGAAAACTGTTCATCTGTCCACACCTCCTGTCACACTAGTTTTCCTAGAACTCTTTGAATTCTTTTTCTGAATGACAACATACAGACCCACAGTAACCTGTCCAGACTGTGTCCTGAGGAGAGTGGAGGAGATGCTAGAGAGGGTGGAAGGATGGTGGCTGGTGGTGTAGACAGGACACTCAGGCTGCACCTGAGACTTTACATTAGCACAGTTGCCCCGTCCCCATCTGACCTCTTCTTTCTCCCCTAGATGAAATCATCATCTTCATCTCCCTCATGTGTTATCCAACATCAACATGGCACCTCCCTGCACCCCTGCCCAGGGGAGCCCCAAGAAGGGACTCTAAAGTGTCTTAAGGCTGAGTGAGCAGGGCTGGGTGACCAGCTCAGTCTCTTGCTCCTCTCCATGAATTCTCCCAGCTTCTGCAGATAGACAAGGCCGGAGGCAGAAACTTGCATGTCACTGAGTTTGAGGTCACAGAAATGGAGAAACTCTCAATTTCCTCTTCAACACTATATATTGCTTAAATGAAACTATGAATAGTCACATGATTTGTTTGAGAGAATCTAAAGGAAAAACTGGTGATATCTTCAAGTTCTCTGTCTCCTACCAAAGTGAACTAACACATATCCAGCCTCCACGACCTTGCCGACTCTTTGGATTTATAGTTAGCTTTCTGTTTGTTCAGTTTTGAAACAGAGTCTTATGTAGCCCAGGCTGACCTCAAGCTCAATAGGTACTAATGATAGCCTCTAATTCATGGTCTTGCTATCTCTACAGTCAATCATTGGGATTACAGGAATACGCCACCTTGCCTGGCTTCCTCTAGTACTTCTTTTAACTGACTGGCTCAGGCCTGGGAACCCAACTCCCAAATACTGGTAGCCATGCTGGAACCCATGTCTGCTCCCCATTCCAACAGTAATGTTCCTTCACCCTGAGGGGATTTGACCTAAACCTTGTTGAGATGGTTGGTGCTGTGAAGTCTTTGCTGTGGGCTCCTTTGCTGTTTCTCCCTTTTGAACAATGGATACTGACATGGCAAGTCACATGACCACTGGAGTAACAGCTTTGAGGCCCCTTCTTTGTGCCTAGGTGTCTGGAAGGAGGAGATGATGAATGGACACTCCCATAGATGACTGGCCAGACCATCATCCTGCAGCCTGCTGGTGTGAACACACCAGGGATGCTCAGAGGAGACACCACCCCAGCTGTCAAGATCCCTGTGACCATGGCTGCTGCTGAGTTCAGCCTTAGGAGGCTTGGATCCAGTTACACCACTGCAGACATTTCACAGCTGCCTCAGGAGACTTCACTTCAGCCAAGAGAAGCCTGGGTCACTTCTCCATGACCCCTCCTATCTTCAGCTAGCCTCATGGGAATTGGGGAGAATTTCTTAATAGACTCAGCAAGTTGATATGCCATGAGACATGATTAGTAAGTGTGATGATATATTGTGCACCCCAATAATTTTTTTCTGGGGATCAGAGGACAGAGCCAGCCACTAGATTAGACATAGATGTCAGAATGTGATGGCACATATCCTTAATCCTATCACTGGGAGACAGTGATTTGTGTGGAGATCTGTCTGGATCTCTGTGAGTTCAAGACCACACTGGGAACAGAGCCAGGTGTGGTGAAACACACCTTTAATCCCAACACTTGAGATCTCATGCCTTTGCTTGGGAAGCATATATGCCTTTAATTCCTGGAAGTAAGATGGCTGGGCAGAGAAAGGTATGTAAGGCATGAAGAAACAGGAACTCACTGTCCTGAGACTGAGGATTTCCTAGAGGTAAGAGCTAGTGGCTGGCTTGTTCTATTCCTCTGATCTTTCAGCTTTCACCCCAATCACTGGTTCTGGGATTTTTTTTTTTATTAACAAGACCGTTCATCAATTTCTGCTAAAAAAAAAAAAAGTGTTGATAGCCCCAGGGACACACAGGAACAGCAACGTTGTGCTCTCAGGACCAGAGACAGACATAGGACATCAGAGCCCACATGGCAGAAGTGGGGGTTCTCTTCTTGTACCTATCCAAGGACAGGATGTTTCACAGCACAAGACTGCACCCATGCTCTCTGATTCCCAGGCAGGAGACAGGAAAGTGATAAGATGCAGGATGAGTGGGCATGAATCCCCACTCTGACGTAAACTGACCTCCCTAGTGAGAGTTCATGGCCCCTGGAGGTCTGTTAGCTGGAGACTGACAGAAAATGCTTGTCTCTGAGAAGGAGAGAAACATTTTCCAGAGTCAGATTTCTCCTTGCACCATTTGGGTTCCCAGAATCAAATGCAGATCATTGGGCTAGGCCAAAGACATCTTTTCCCACTGAGCTATCAATCTGCTCCCCATTTTTCTTTTCTCCATTAATTTGTAATTTTTAAATACTTGTTTTAAAAATAAATTAGAAAAATGTTATGATCATCATTTATGCCCTTGAGGAATCCACATTATTTTTTATGACATGGTGTCTCATTGTTCTGGAACTCAGCAATTAGACTAGACTAGCTGGACAGACAGCTCCACGACTCTGGCTGTCTCTTGCTTGTCCATGGCTGGGATTACAAATTCCCATCACCTCCCTAGTTTATAATGAGGATGCTCCCAATCAAACTCAGGTCCTCTAGCCTGTGTGTAATGCTTTTCTGGGGAAATGATCTCTCTGGATCCCTTGCATGCCTCTCATAAAAAATTCCCCAAATAGCCTGTCTTAACCAAACTTCAATTGCTGTGAAGAGACACCATGACTAAGGAAACTCTTATAAAGGAAAACATTTAATTGGGGTTGGCTTAAGTTTCAATAGTTTAGTTGATCATCCTCATGGTGGGAAGGTTGGTGGTACACAGGCAGACATGGTGCTGGAGAAGTAGGTGAGCATTCTACGTTCAGATAGCAGACTGCAGGAAGAGAGAGGGAGACACTGGTCCTGGCTTGAGGATTTGAAGTATGAAAGTCAGCCCTCACTGACTCAATTCCTCGAACAAGCCCACAACTACTCTAACAAGGCCACACATCCTATGCGCCACTGCCTTGTGACAAAGCATACCAATCCTTGAGCCTATGGGGGCCATTCTTATTCAAACCACCACACAGCCCCTCAGCTGCTCCTTGGGATGACAGGCTCTCCCCTGGCTGGGGTTCACCTTTAGTCTGCTGGCCTGTAGGAGAAGAAACAGTGTCAGTGTGGCAGCCATGCTGATCCTCCATCTGCCTCTCAGCTCTTCTCTGTGTTCAGACAACGTTAGGAGCCCAGGGCAGCAAAAGGCTCTGTAGCAGCCATCCAGGGACAGCTCTGAGAGTCACCAGGACCTGAGGACAGTCCTCAGCTGTCCTGCACAGCACAGCCAATCAGAGGACAGCTCTCCTGGTCCTTTGCCCTTGTCCATGTCCTTCTCCCTCTGCTTCCTTCCCCTGCCTTGAACCCATGTCACCTCCCTGCTTTCCCTGCTTTGCACTCACCACGCCTCCCTTTTGTCTCCCTGGAAACTGGCTCTCTAGCTTTCCCTGTGAGTGCAGGCTGCTGCCACCCTGCAGATTCAGTCTCAGGGTTCGAATCCCAGTCAGACTTCTGCTGCCTCTCAGGTTGTTGCTCTCCAGCTCTCAGACGCTCCTCTTACCTATTGGAGGGCTGAGCCCTTCTGAAGACCAGGGGCCACATCTTCAAACATTAGTTCTGCTCTCTCTATTACATTCCACTCTCTGCTCATCTCTGCTCCTGTCCTGCAGTCTTCTAGTCACCATGGCTTTAAATCTGCTCTGAACACAGTCCACACTGGCTCCTGTGTTGGGTGAGGAAAAGGTCAATGAGCCCAGGTTGACCTGCAACTTTCTATATATCTGCAGATGACCTTGAACTCTTGATTCTACTCTCTGTAATTCCCAACACTGGGGTTAGGGTGTCCCCCATTGTGTCCCCATGTTGTTTCTTAGAATCTTGTTAATTTTAGAAGACAAGTCATTTATTTTTACAAAATTAAATTGGGATTTGAATTCCAATTGCATTGAATTTTTAGAGTGTTTTGCATTGTAAAGACTGAATGTATAAAATTTTCCCTTATGCTAATATCCTTACATATTTAAGTATTTCCCTCCTTTTAAAATTTATTTTTCATCAGTATGTACATTGGCATGTGTGCACACATGTATGGATGGTAGAGGGGATGCTTGGAGAAATTTGTTATGAGAGGCATGCAAGGGATCTAGAGAGGTGGTTCCCTCAGGAAAGCCTTGCACACAGGCAGTGTCCTTGGGCACTGTCCTGAAGGAGCTTTCACCTATGTTTCTGAGACAGGTCTGTCATTGGCTCCTCACTGATTGGGCAAGGCTGGCAGCACAGTCAGCGTCAGGGATCCTACTCTCTCTGCTCTCCTACTGTCTGCCAGCATTGAAGTGGGTCCTGGGGATGGAACCCATGTCCTTGTGTTCCTGGGTGAGCACTTTACCCACTGAGCTCGCTCCTGGCTGTTCTGTAACTTCTCAGCACTGTTCTGTTTTTAGGGTACAGAGCTTTCAGCTCCTTTAGTGCGGCTTCTTCCCAGACATGTTCTTTTCATTTGTGGGTTTATTACTCACCATGGTCTTAATTTCTGTTTTAATACCATATCCTCAACTCAAATAGCTCTATTCAAATGAGCAGTTACCCCAGAGGCACCCACAGGACCCCTTGAATCCCTTAGCACAGACTCTGTGTTCATCTCCAGTAGTTCCTCCAGTTTCCAGCTGGGATTCTAAGGAAGGAGGTGCAGATTCAGTCCTGGGTGAGTTCTGCCTCCTTTCTCTCCCTGTGTTCTCTGGACTCTGTGCTGCACAAGCTCGTCCTTCTCCATCTCCCACAGCTGAGAAAACTCAAAGGGTAAGCTCAGGTGAGGGCCTGTCCAGGACCACTTACCTTTGCTTCCACCAAAGGAAGACCTTCAATACACAGACGGGGGTCATGAGCACAGTCGTGGTCACCACCACCCCGACCGTGGCTCCCAGGTTCACAAGTGAAGGATTCCTCTGGTCCTCTGTGTCCTCCAGGCCAGCACTGCTGCCTGCAGAGGTGATCATGGAGGGGCTCTGCATGGTGGTCCTGATAGCTGAGGAGAGATGAGGAGTGAGCAGATCCCCCTGGATGAGGGAGGGAAGGGGTGAGTGTCACAACCTTGTCTCCTCTGTGGGATGTGGGATAGGGAACAGCTGTTAGAAGTTCACAGAGAGGGGAACACATGCTGAAGGCTGAGACTCCAGGAGAGCAAGCTCAAATGCACACTCTCCACTTGTCCTGGCGGTGTATCCTCAGATGGTCATCTGGTCACAGATATTTAGGCCATGGAAATACAGTTGTTTTTGTCATAGATGTATGTAACATGCAGATTTGACCCAGTCCACAGAGTGTTGGCTGCTTGTTGCCTTAGAACCTGAGTTTCATCCCTAGTAGTCATGTTGAGAGCTGGATAAACTTGTCATGGCCTTTAATCTTAGCCCTAGGGGCAGAGGCAGGAGATCTTTGTGAGTTCAAAGCCAGCTTCGTCTATATATAAAGTTTCACACCAAACAAAGTTGAGTGAGCTGTAATCCCAGTACTGAGGAAGTGGAGACAGGTATGTCACTGGGGGTCACTGGCCAGCCAGCCTAGTCTACTTGGCAAACTTGAAGCTAGTGAGAGACCCTGTCTCAAAAATAAGGGGATGACAATGAATATGTCCAATAGGGTCCACATGCCCAGGAAGAAATGTGAACATTCACACACACACACACACACACACACACACACACACACACACACACACACCTGAATTAACAGATCCACATGTTCACACACAGAAAATAAATAAAGATATATAACAGAAAATATGTAATTTTAGCCATAAGTGTACAGCTCAGTATAGGGAAGAGTACATTCATTTGCTTTACAAACATCACTAAGGTGAATTTCCACCTTTACTTATTTGGAAACACTAGACCAACAGTTCCCAACCTGTGGCTCGCTACCCCACAGTGGTGAATATAAGAACATCCTGCATATCAATAATCACAATACGATTCATAACAGCAGCAAAATCACAGTTATGAAAATAATTTTGTGATGGGGGTTCACCACATCATGAGGAACTATATTAATGGGTCTCTGCATTAGGAAGGTTGAGAATCACTACTCTAGACCCAAGAAACAGCTCCATTCTCTCCCTTCCCTGAGCCCTGGCAGCTGCTGGTTGACATTACATCTGGTCAACAGGGTGGTCATAGAGACTGTGCAGAGAACTGTGCTGTGGGCGTCCTCTCACAGGGTGGCTCAATCCAGTCAAGAGCCACTGCTGGCTCAACACTTGGGAGGTAGAGGCAGGCAGATTTCTGTGAGTGCCAGAACAATCAAGACTAAGTGGTGAGACCCCGTCTTATAAAAACTAAAACACCAAAATATAAACAAAGAGCCACAGAACAAGGTTATAACCTACAAGGAAATACACAGAGTCTCCCAGCTTCTGTAGGGCCATGTGAAGGTTAACAGTCACACAGTGTTCCACTCTGTGTTCCCAGTTACTTCTGCTGCAGAGGAGAGGCAAGGGTCAGAAGACAGAGCAACCACATCATGAAATAGGGACATTATTTCCCAAGACCCTTGGAGTTTGTGTGGGAGAGGTGAGGGAAAGAAGGCAAGAAAGGAGACGGGGGTTGGAAATGGAGAGGAGACAAGGGAGTGAGTACGGAGAGTAGAGGCATGTGTGCTGGGGAGCTAGGAGGGTAAATGGGAGACTGTGGTGCTAGATGGCAGTGGATGGTAGGACACCAAGAACATCCAATGAGCACCTAGTGTTTGTTCTGGGCCTAGGTTGGAGCTGTGTGGAGATGCTCCATACAGGGACTCATTGGAGCCCTGCCACAGGACCAAGTGAGTCAGCTACATCCTGGAGAGGTCAGTCTACCTCCAGGTCATGTGGAAAGTGGAATTGGCCAGGACTGACTGCAGTGTTAGTTTGGTTCAGAAAGAGGGTGAACTAGGAGGGAGGACACAAGCTGAGGTCTAGAGAGGGGGGGGGGGTTGTGTCTTAGCAGAGAGTGACAGACAAGGTCAGAGGAGACAGCAAAGGCTTGTCACGACTACAAGGTAAAAATCCTGTTAGCAAAGGCCTGGGCAGAACCAAGGTAAAGGAATATGAAAGAAATCTCAGAGGCATGTAGCCTGAGGTGACATCTAGGCGACAAGGAAGCCTGAGACATCAAAGCCAGAGCCAGGGTGGCTCACCATGGGTGATGGTCAGTTGAGTCCCAGGAATTGACTGAATAATCTTCATGACTTCTTTTGTGTTTATATGAACTCGGCAGAAGTACACTGTCTGGTCCTTCTTCTTCAAGTCCAGGATTCTGAGGACTCCAGATGTCTGAGTCTGTGTCCAGTTCAGGGTGAGCCGATTCTTGAAATGCTCATGTATGAAAAGTGGGGTGGAGTTGTAGATAAATTCCCCATGGAAGTGCTTCCATCTCCAGAGAATCCTCATATCTGGATCCTCTGCCAACTCCCAGGGGAAGTAGAAGGAGAAGGGGATCTCGATGGAGCTGCCCTGGACACCAGAGAGGCGGGCTGGTTGGTTGATTCCAAAGCTATTTACTCTTTTGGATCCTGCAGAGTTTCCTGTGAAGAATGGTGAGAATCTGACCCCTTTACAGGGGATAGAAAGGACAATACAGAATATCCAACTCTTCACCTACAGGTTGGTGTGGGACACAGGGCAGAATTATCCCTATGTCCCACTGTCCCATATGGGACAGGACAGAAAAGGAGGGGTTGGGATGGACCCACTCTGAGGATGAGCTCTCTCTTGGGGCACAGAGCACTGACTGGCTCCTCTAGCAGACACCTGTCCACATGACAGCCCGCTCTTCCCAGCCCCAGTGGCCCCTCCTGTGGTTAAGGCAGACTCCCTGCTAACAAGGTCCCCAAACTCACCAGCTTGCAGACATGCAGCTGACAGCAGCAGAAGCAGGATCCAAGACATGGCCTGATTCCCTCCAGGAAGTGAGACCAGCAGAGCCATCAGGCAGGAGTGGAGGACCTGTGAGTGACAATGGGGTGCTCAGGAGTCAGGAAGAATCAGGGTAAAATGACACACGAACCCAGGGCCTTCTTCTCCTGTGGAGGACAGAGTGGGGCAGGACCTCCACACCTCCACCTCCTTCTGACCAGCAATTTCCTTCATCATTCTAGCTTCTTCCTTCCCATGATGCAGAAGACCCGCCCTGTGGTCACTGACAGGATGACCATGCATTTGAGCCAGGCCTCGCTTTTGACAGGAAGATATGGAACTGACCTCACCATGCCGGGCTCTCCTCTCTTCCACCTTGACCTCCTGTCTTATCCAGTCTTTTCCATTTCCCATGTGGCCTGTAATCACTGTTTCCTCACCTCCAGATTTCCTCCACTCCTGCCCTCCTCCACCTTTGTTTCTCCTTGTGTCTCCTCCCACCATCTGGTTGTCTGTCAGTCTGTAAATCTGTCTGTCTGTCTCTCTAATAACATCAGGCACAGAAGTGGTCAGTTTCTGCTCACTTCAGACACAACGAGGATGGAGGGGATTAGGAAACACATTCCGTCCCCAGCCCTAGCTCGGTGTCCTCACCACCATCTGCTCTTTGTCCTCTTCTTGTCCTTCAGGAACTCTTCATAGCACCCGGCAGAACCAAGGCCCAGTGGACACTACCGCCCTGGCCTGCTCACTGCTGCCGAGTCTGTAACCACCCTGGGCTTCCTGGGTGGTCGTCTCCCTCCCCTAGACAGTGATTCCAAACTACTCCAGTTTCTAAAGGAGCCTTTCTACATCCCACCATCCTTCATACACCTCAGAAGAGGATGCCAAGGATCAGAGAAGCCCTGGCACATGTCACATGACTGTCACATGCATGGTTGACTGGACTTCATCCCATCAAGTACTTGTAGTCCTCCACTCCACACAGACTTCAGCCTGCCTGCTCCATGCATGCTCTGACTTTCCTCAAAGACCAGGGATCTGCTGCTGGGTTCTAAGGAGACGGTTCCCATAAAGCACTTGAGTGACTCCATCTAGCTGTGGCTGTTCTAGAACCTTCTTTGGATGGTATTGGGCAAAGAAGGCTCAGAGCAGCAATGTGTCACTCATGACATGTTGCCTGGGACATCTCTGACAGTGGACACATTGCCCCGTGACTGGGGTGGAGATGTGAGGGGTAGGGTAGATGTTGTGGTGACCTCAGGGCTGGTTCTGTAGGAAGGTCATCCTCCCCTTCATCAGACATGGTACCATCAGTTCTGTGGAGACAAGTTTGTAGCAGAGGAAGTGGCATCCTTCTCCCTGAGTGACATGTGCAGAGGCGACTTCCCATTTCCTTAGATTCCTGCACTGAAAGCCTTCTCCATGCTTCCCTGCAGGGGGCTGTGCAGCCGCCTCTGTCACATCTGCTGTCCCTGCCGTCCTCACAGTCCCCACTGTTTCCATGGTCCTCAGATCCCTTGACCTGAGCCAGGCACAAACACTCATGACCTCACTCCCAGCAGTACATGGACACACTTCTATATCCATCCATCCTGCCCTTGGAGACACAGATGCACAGAATCTTTGGGATGAGTTTGTTTCAAATGGTTATTAAGGAGAGGGAATGGGTCTATTGTACCCATCAGAAACCACCACACACACTCCTGTTATTGAATAGGGTCTCATATATCTCAGGCTGGGTCTTGAACTTCCTGTGTAGGCAAAGATAGCCTTGAACTCCTACAGATCCTCCTCTCTGCCCTCCCATATACTGAGGGACATGTGTGTCGCTTTGTGCCCCTTTATCTCCTCCTGGAGATAGAGCCCAGGGTTCTGTGCAGGTAAGCACTCTGCCAGATGAACCTTTTCTTTATCCTCAGGGAGGTCTTAGAGGGGGCTCTCCTGGTCTTGACCACTCACCTCTAGGCTTCCTTTGTCCTTGCCTTACTGTCTGGGGTCTGTGAAAAGGTCACTGGGTTGCTGTATCTCTGGAGGAAGGGCTGGACCTGACAAGGCTGCCATGTGTCAGGTGTTGGACCCCAGCATTGTTACACAACAAGCCCATGTGGGTTCTGTAAGATCCCAAGGGCCCCTGTGCTCAGCCTCACTGCTGCCACCTGCTGGACCCTTAGTCCAAGTCATGGATGCTGTCCTAGTTTCAAGTCCTCAATTGAATCCCCATGGGGACCTGCTGTGGGATGATTTCTGTCCAGGATGCTGTAATCAGTCTCCTGCAATGCCAACCCCATTTCCCCCAACAGCAGTGACTGGGCCCTGCAGCCATGCTGCTTTCCCAGGGGAGGTGCACTTTCTGTGGAAGAACAGCCTGGGCTGTGGTGTGCACACGTGGGTCTTCTGCATACAAGTGACCATGCGTGTGTCAGACAGCAGTGTGAGAACCGGCTGCTGCACAGGATGTAGCATGTGTGTGTCCTGCCCCCACAGAATAAATAAGTAAATGTAGTTGAAACTCTTAAAACCAAAGGTAGGCTAGGCATGATGGTGCATGTCTTTAATTCTAGCATTTAGGAGGTAGAGGGAGAGGCTAGTGGATCTCTGTGAGTTTGAGGCTATCCTGGTCTATATGTTCAATTCCAGGCCAGCAAGTGCTATGTAGTGACCTCTTATCTAAAAACTAAATAAAACAAACAAAAAACCCCAAAATCAATCAAACAAACAAACAAAAACCTACAAAAAAAATAAAAAACAGAGGTGGATGGTTTCCTGATTAGCAATGCCTGAGGTTGTCCTATGGCTTCCACTTACATGAGCACACATTACTTGCACACACATGCACTTGCACAAAGACCAATACAAATCACACAAGGCACCTTTCACAGCTGATCTGCCATCACACATTTACCCAGTCCTCATCCTGAGTAAACTTAGCCTCCCAGGCATGGCTATGTGACTCTTCAGACTCCAGTTCCTGACAGTGTTCTCAGCATTCAGACTCTGATTTTATACCCAGCTGTGTTTTCCCATGACAGTGGTGGCAGAGAACAGGCTCAACCCTTCCTATATCTGTCTGAACCATCCAATTCCAGAAACTTCCCTCAAATAACCCACAGTTCAAGCTCTGTGGGTTCTGACCCAGCAGATAACCTCATTGATAAAAATCTGTCCATCTGTCCACCCCTTCTGTCATACCACCTATCCTTCCACTCCTTGATTTCTGTCCCCCAGGGACAAAATACAGACCCTAGATGGAATCCCAGGGTGATATGTCCAGACTGTGTCCTGAGGAGAGTGGAGGAGATGTTAGAGAGGGTGGAAGGATGGCGGCTGGTGGTGTAGACATTACACTCAGGCTGCACCTGAGACTTTACATTAGCACAGTTGCCCCATCCCCATCTGACCTCTTCTTTCTCCCCTAGGATGACATCATCATCTTCATCTCTCTCATGTGCTGCTCAAACTCAGCATGAGCATCTTCCCTGCACCCCTGCTCAGGGGAACCCCAAGAAGAGACTCTACAGTGTGTTCTAGAGGCCCAGTGAGTGTGGCTGGGTGATCATCTCAGTCACCTACTTTTCTGGTATGAAATCTCCCAGCTTCTGCTGATTCCCAAGGCCAGGAACAGAAACTCATAAATCATTGAGTGGAGGTCACAGAAACTGAGAAACACACAGTTCCTTCTTCAACATTATATATGTTGCATAAAACCCCCCAAATACCCAAATACAAAAACAACAACAAAACAAACCCGAAAAACTATTTATGGTCACAAAATTAGTCCAACTGAATCCAAATAGAAAAATGGTGACACCTTCAAGTTCCCTGTCTCCATCTGAAAGTGAACAAATGGATGACCCGTCTCCCCGACCTCTCTGTACCATTTAGAGTTTTTGTTGACCTTGTTGTCTGTTTATTTCAAGACAGGGTCTCATGTAGCCCAGGCTGGCCTCAGGCTCAATAGGTGCTAATGAGAGCCTCCAATTCATGATCTTCCTTCACTCCCTGTCTATGGCTGGGATTACAGGTATATGCCACCATCCTAGACTAGATGGGCCTTTGAGGAAAGGAAGCCCAACATGGGATCCAATCAAGCCATGGTCTGTCACCTGAGGAGGAGCATGGAGGGATTGGGACTGTGGCTGAGATGTCAGTGTCCAGGGAGAAGGGGAGAGAGGAACCAGCGTTCTGAGTGTGGACCATGGTCCCTGCCTCTCCCTGTGTCCCTTGTCATGTACACAATATATCACTCTCTAAGAGGTCTCACATAGAGTGTCAAGATAGACACTGAGATGGATTGCTGGGAGTAAGATATTTATTAAAAAGTGTTATTAATTGCATATACACAGAGGAAACAGCACAGTAGGGCTCTCAGGACCAGAGACAGACAAATTGACATGTGTTCTGATGGGAGAAAATCAGAACCCACATGGCAGAAGTGGGGGTTCTTTTCTTGTGCTTGTCCAAGGACAGGATGTTTCACACACAAGAGTGCAGCCATGCTCCCTGATTCCCAGGCAGGAGGCAGGGAAGCAGGGAGATGCTGATGTGTGACCACCCCATGATGTAAAGTGACCTCCCTGGTGAGAGATCCTGGCCCCTGGAGTCTGTTAGCTGGGCAAAAACAGATGTCTCAGCAGGTGCCTTTGGGTGACCCTGAGAGGAAGAGGACAATTTTCCAAGTCAGTTTTCTTCTTGTACTATTTGGATCCCTAGAACACAAACCCAGATTATTGGACTAGGCAGCAGGTCCCTTTTTTCACTAAGCTATTTTGCTGGCTCACACAATTTTTTGTTCAAAGGAACTCACGAACGTTAGATTGACAGCTGTGGAACCTGCATGGAAGCAGACTAGACCCTCTGCATACAGGAGACAGTTGTGTAGCTGGGTCTGTTTGAGGGGCCCCTTGCAGTATGATTAGGATCTCTCCCTGGTGCATGAGGTGGCTTTCTGGATCTCATTACTATGGTTGGACACCTTCCTCACCCTTGAGACATGGGGGAGGGGCTTGGTCCTGTCTCAACTCAATGTACCAGGATTTGCTGTCACCTCATGGGAGAACTTACTCTTTTGAGGAGGGGATTAGGTGGGGTCGGGGGAGCAGGAAGGAGGGATGAGAGGGGGAATCTGTGGCTGGTATGCAAAATGAACAAAATATTTTTAAAAAACA